TATTTCTAGTAAGCAGAAGTTTCTTTTACAAAGTGCAAATTTTGTAAGCAAAATAGCAGTTCCTAAGAATCTAGTCATGAATCACAGTGCCCCCTTTATACCAGGTGGTTGTAGAAAGTGTCCAGTAAGATCAGTAGCAAGTGTTCATGATATATAGCACCAACTTTCCAGACTTACAAACTATGCTGGGAACATAATGTTTGTCACTTTCTAAACTCAAGCTTGGGTAGCTACTACGCTAAGTAAAACAGTAAGAAAGTTACCCAACATCACAAGATTTGTGACAAAAACATGTAGTTGACAACACTGATTTCTGTGTTAATGTAAACCTCAATATTGCAAGAGTGGAAGAGGCTGCATATGCCATGCAGATTGTGCAAGTGAAGACAGAGCTGAAGATTACATTCTGCCTGGCAAGGCAGGGAAACAGCTAGAGGCATTTCCCACAGGCGAGGCTGGGCTAACAGCTGTTGGCCAAACGCCTCAGCAGGCAGCCAGCTGGGACGTCCTCCTTTCTGTCAAAGTGGAAAAGAATTTGCTATTTCAGTAGTTGTCTCCAGAAGACAAAAGTAATACTAAGGGCTATTTCCACAGATTAAGTAGTAGGTACACCAATCGGCTTGGGCAAAGCCCTAGTCAACTGGGGAAAAAGGGGATGATGACTATACACAAACGTGTTCACATCAATAGTGCCAGAAACACCTTCTAAATTAGCTGTTGCAAAAGCAGAGCTAAAGGTTCAAGCAGTCTTCCTTTCCTTGTTACTCTCCCTTCCTTACTCCCATCGGTAAATCTGGGCTTAACATGCAGGAAAAGAACACACAGCAATTTCACCTTGATCCAATGACATATCTAGGGCAATCCGCATAGCAACACTTGGGATCCTAATTGAGCAAGGAGTCAAGTACAGACCTGAGCTAGGCAATATGTAACATACTAAGTTCAAAAAGTCACATCAACTTTCAGTCAGATTTCAGAAACATTTAAGTCTCTCTTGAATGCGTACAGTTAAAATTTTTACCATGAGATTCTACTAATAGTTCTTGTGTTTAACATGTACCCATGTTACAATGGGTACCAACCGAACTGGCACGTGTGTTGTGAGTTTATTTAAAAAACAACAACAACAACAACAACAACAGCAACAAAATTTAACTCCTTGGGAAAAATAGCAGCACTTCAGAATTCAAAGAAAAGTAACATTATAACTGACTGCTAGTAATTATTTATATTACGGATTGCTTTTTTCTTTTAATCGCAGTGTCAGACTACTCAAAAGAAACAACGTTTAAGTTGTATCTAATTTCCCTTTCAGGTAAATATAGTCATATTTGGCTTATCAATTTAACATGCAAAAGTGATTTCCAATGTTCTGCATACACTGAGAAGCGAGATGATAGAGCTGTCCTCAGAAGTTCATTGCTGTTCTGAGAGGTACAGGGACAAACTTGATCTACCAAATACAAGTCCTCATATTTAAGACTAAAATTTGCATTAAAAGTTTTTAATAAAGATGCAAGGAATATTGTCAAGTGCAGAAGTTAGTGGCTTAAAGTCAGTTAAAGACACTCTTCAAAGAAGAACTGACTAGCTGCACAGTGATCCCACAGGCACTCATACTACCAGTTATACCATGGCTAGCACTGGCTTTATTCCAATAACATTTCCAGGAAGACCTGCAGACTTCACTCAAACATCCAGTCAATACTAACAGAAAATACATCTAAAACTTCAGAATCCAGCAGTGAGTTCTCATCTGAGGAGCTCTCATCTCAGTAGTGGACTTATAATACATTAATGGAAACAGCAAAATATTTATTGAAGCCAGCAGTGCAACTCCAATTATATTAAACTACAGTACTCATTTGAAGAACATGTCCAAGCGCAGTTTGCTTTATTTTTACTTTACTATTAAACAAATTATGCCAGCAGCAGTCTGTTTCATATGAAACTGGGCATTTGGAAGTCACGGTACTACACTAACCTAGCAAATTAAGAACGATGGGCATTTGTCTGTGCAGGCATGCATATTGAAGAATGAATGAACAACTTGCTGAGTGCACAACAAGAACATAAAGAAAGAATCAGGGACATGTGGAAAGGACATGGTGAGTAGAGAAGATATAAATGGTAAAAATATCCTGGGAAGTTCAGAGGAAAAAAGATGACAATCACAAAAGGGATCTGGGGTGGGTGAAAAAAAACGCAACAGAACAAAATCAATACACTGGACTGTACTGTTTCTGGGTAGCTGTGCACACATTCTAATCACCTTTTAGGGTAATTAGGAATTTTTCCCTTGCTGATAGATTGCTATATCCAAGACTAGAGTTTAATCATACTCTCTCTTCAAGAAAGTATGAGAAGCAATGGCAAGCTCATGTAACGAACTTGCAACCAAACAATGTTACCAACCTCACAGGAGGAACTACTACAGAATATTACGGGAGAACATTCTCTAAATGTGGAAAAGAGGTAATAGTCTTATTACGTTAGGATAGCACATTAATAAAACCACTTCCCTGTCTGTTGCCAAAGGGAAGGCAATAGAACCCAAAAAGAATAGGATGCTGAAAAAAGGTTAAAGGCTTTTGCAGCATAAGGGCTACATTCCATACTCCAGGTGAGACAACAAAGTGAAAGCTTGGAGACAACCTTCTCTCCCCAAGAAATACAATTTCAAAAGAGTCATCTGCACTGGAAGAGTTAGTGATGGATCATTTCCGAAACGTGTTAATAAGAACTGCAGACTACTTGAATCATATTCAAGGTGTCTGCCTTCCTGTGGTATCCACATCAATGAAAATAGACAAGAACAACTACAGAAATTCAGTCCACGCAAGGTACTCAAAATTAAATGCAATCCCCCTCCCTCTGGTCATTTTTGCTCATTTTACTTTGAGGGGGAAGGGTTCTTTTCCTCTCTTTTGTGGTTTTTTTTTTTTTTTGGTTTTTTGTTTTCCCTCCTCTTCTGTCCAAGTAAGACACAAAGCAAAGCTGGCCAGGTGTCTCTAAACCACAGAGCCAGCTGCTCCTAACCAAGCTCACAGGAAATAGCAAGGAAAATATGCAGCATTTGACACATCTGGAATAGATTGCACAGTCTTTGAAAACAGTGTCCCAATTCCCTTCCTTTTGCTGATGAGATTTCAGGCTACCAAACTGCTGCATCAACTATAGAGGATTAGATAACATGTACATTTTTAACCCTACATATTCTTTCTGTCAGAAGGGAAATTCTTCTAAGCAGTCCAGAAAAAAAACAAGCATCTGGATGAAGCGTTCTGTAAAGTGTTAGAGGAGTAAATGGAAATAAATTAACCGGAAGACTGCTATTTAATCTGGGAAAATTTGGAAAAGAGTACGAGCTCACATTAGTAAATATAGAAAGGAATCAACACTGCATGCTTAGCACATTTGTATTAACTCATTAAGAGAAATGTCCTTACAGTATGCTTCAATAAAACATGAGATGAAAAGGAAAAGAGTATAGAAGACTGGTTAGCAACCATTTAGATGGTCCGTTTGTAATTCCACATTAGCATAAATATTGCAGTGTGTAGTTTTCAATGTGAAGTGCAAAAAAACCCGAAAAAGCAGAAGTCTTCATTAGCAAAACAAAGCAATGTTTTATTATTTGCTTCTTTTTCATAAGGACAATGAATGCAAAAGAACATGGAAAAAGAACAAGTAAGTATAGAGGGAAATTCCAATCAGATACATAATACTGAATTTTTTCCCCCCCCCCCCAAAAAAAAAAAAAAAAAGCTGAGAAGTGGAGTTGCCCCTTAAGTCTATAATCACTTTTAATATCTCTGAAAGATTAAGAAAAGGAATAATGTGACCAGTTTATATACGCATTTTTAAAACATTATAGATACAAAATTGAATACAGCACTAGCTTCATGACAACATAAACCTCATTTTTAATGTTAGTAATAAAAAAGCAGAATTCTAATATAAAAAGAAAAATAACTAGAGGAAAGTATCTGCATCTTTTTCTTCCCCAAAGGTGCAACCAATGTATTTTGCAACTGAGATTCCAGTTGTACAAAGGATTGAGAGATGTATTCTCCTACATTTAAGGAAATTCAACGTGCATGAACAGGAGAGAGTACCCCTTAAGAGATGATATTTTTAGGAAAGTAATGGTATAACTTAAATGAGTACAGGGAGAAGTGCAACACAATTATTTCTGCTTTCAGAGCCTTAAAATATGATTTTTTTTCCTTCATAGATTATTTCTAAAAGTACCTTGAATTTTTGGTTTATTCTTAGGAAATGGCGATGTATTTATTCAAAGCAAGCAATGTAAGACAGCTGTATGAACTTTTTGTGAGAAGAGCCTCAAAGTGGATGTCATGTTTACATTGAACTCAAGATTTTTAAATAAAGTCAGCGTTTATAAACCAGGGAACGCATGTGCAATACTCTGTTTTAGGGACAAAGGTGCACCTACAAGGATCCAACTGCATAATCATGAACTAAGGACACACGGCTGTCCATCCCTGCTAACATGAATAAATACCATCTTTTGACAGGATTATGCAGATGAATAAAGACATTCAGGCTCAGGCCAAAAACAGTTAATACAAATTCATGTGAGCAAACTTAGGATGAGACAATTCAATGCCTTTACATCCAAAATTCTACCTAACAGTAACTATATATACCCTTAATGGCCATATCAACAAAAAAATATACGTATAGCTCATATGAAGATTAAGCATAATTTAGAGAATATGCTGTTACAAAATATATTTTGACTTATTTCCTAAGAAGCAATTTAAACAGTAATTTATGCTGAGGTATTTACAGGGGACTCAAAGTGATGTATCAGTTCTAAGCAAACCAGTATATTGGTTTGAATTTGATAAAGTATTGATGAATACAAGTTTGTGATAACAAGGAACTTTAGGTTTTAGTAAACTTAACAAAAAAAGTTCTACACAATCATTAGATGAATCTAAATTTTATAAAAAATGTGTCTGATCTGGCTACTCTGAATCATTTAATGCATTCCATTTTTACTCAAACTTCAGATCAATAAGTCAGTGGCACGTACATGCTGTAAAACAAATTACCACTTAAATCTTTCAGATATAACAAGCACAGATTAACCAAGTCTGACTCTACTTAATCTGTACTAATAGATGGTTTGTTCTTACTTCAATACTATCCTCAAAGCACATATGCAAATGTGCTGAAATAAAAAGCAATAATTATAAATATTTACTCGAATGACCAGAACTGGCACTTGACCATAAACCATCCTGTCATTCATTTCTGAAGCTGTATCTTCACTAATTTGTCTTCTGTTTTTAGTAGTCTTCTATCCTATTAACTTGGAGAGTTACAGATCATCTGGAAATTTCACACTGGTATAGGAAAGGAATGTCTGTTCGATGCAGTCTGGAGATAAAAAAAGAATTGTACTTCAATTCATCGGAGTAATTAGCTTTAAGCAACAATGCTAACTGAGGTAAGAACTAGGAGCAGTAAAAAAGCAGCTTCCTCTACTCCTGACAGCCCTCTGTCACGATGGCAGAAGAAAGTGACCACTTTATAAAATATTCTCAAGCATTCTTTTGGAACTTTGAGAAAATAATAATAATTTTTGAAGTAACATTTGTTACTTATTAAATAAAAATTAATAGCCATTGGACAGCATTTATCTGTTTGTGTAAGAATAAAGTAAGCTTGGTAGAAATTAATTTGAACTTCTTGTTTGCATTTAAATAGTTAAGATACTTCAACAAATAATATTTAGGCATTTAGCTCTTTGTTTAAACAGACTCCACAAATCTTGACAGCCCATACAACACAGTGATGAGAAATGTTTTCAGCTAAAGGGCCATGTCAGAAGCCACTGAAGTCAGATAGGAGAACCCATTAACTTCAGTGGATACTGAATAAGGTATTAGCGTTTTGTCCTAAAGCAGAATTGTAACTCCAGGAGAACAAAGAATCACAGTCCGAATCATCACATGCTCTCATTATTCTCTTCAAGCTATAGTTTTCAAATACCAGTTAGTCCCAACAATTATGTATATAGTCATATTTTTATGTTTTATTACACTGAAAGCTAACATTTAGATAAACAAACATATCCATTAATGCAGTCTCTACTCTGCGAATTTCCTTATTTTGAAGACATCACTCTATTGCTAAGAAAATGAAAGATATGTTACTGCTGTAAAAAGGAAATGTTGCAATGTAGATGGCAGTTTAGGTAGATTACTAAAAGGTAATATAATTCTTAGTTATTTAACAGCTGAACTTACTGCATAGTTTTTACAAAATGGCACATAGTAAAAATATATTACATTATGGTTATGTTCACTTAGCAGTTTTATTCCATGATCAAGAACATTATAGTATAGCGCAAGTATTGAACTTCCATATTTATCATTAGCCATTTGTTTAAATGTATATCACAGTATTTCTCGCTTAGGAAGAACAACAGGTTTTAATGCATTTTCGTTTCTGAATTTTAGTTCCAGGGAGGACTTGGGGTAGCAATGATGAAACACATTTACTTTCAAACTGCACAACATCAAGATACTCCAGATATTTCAAAGCACTTATCATCACTAGAAACAGCTTACCTTCAGTACAAGAAAAAAAATCTTGTTCTGTGAGCAGCTGCCATACTTTCAGACATGTTTCTGACTTTAAGATAATTGACAAATCCTCGAAAGAACAGCAGGAGTCCTGAAAATGTCAGAAATGAACAACATTAAGCACACCAACGTTTCAGAGTAGATAATATTCTACATTAATTTTTATTTAAAAAAAATTTAAGAATTTTATATAAGAAACAGTCAGTAAGGCCTGTATGCACTATTCATAAACAAGTTCAAAAGGCAAGTGCTCTGCTTTTAGCATGTAGGTATGATAGATACATCTTTATGGAAGGCTTTTCAAAAATTTTACACTCATTCTGGGTTCAGTTATCACCCACTAAAAGGATTACACGAAAAACATTAAAAAAAAAAAAAGAACACATGCACCAAAAATAAGTGCATACTATTTTCAAGTAGAATTCTTAGAAGAAGTTACTACTGTGTTAGAAGAGTGCCTGAACCCCAAAGTGTACTTTGGAAATGTTTAAGATTATAAATGTACTGCTAATCAAGGAGAAAAAAGAAACAAGACTGTACAGACTATTCTAGCAACAAATCAGCAACAAATTATAGTAGATGATGGCTTGAGATTTAGCCATCCAGTAAAATGCACTTTTTCTAACTGAAGAAAATCATTAGTTGATTCAAAGCAGATTACTCAACATGTGTTATGACTACGTTTACTATGCTCACCTCTACATTTTAAATGATATTTAAATATTTAAATTTAGCCATGTTTGAAAGAATACTTCAGCTCTAACAATTTACTGAACTACTATAAGAACAAGAGATATAGAATTGTCACATACAAGTTACAGTTGTACCAAAGGAAATCACTCACATACATTGTTAACATCATTCTGTCCTTTGAGAGATTCACTGGACATTTGAACACGCACATGCAGGGGCGGGGAACACCTCCCCACACACCCCACAATGTTGCATAAAGGACACAGCTCTTAGATCTATTCTTCTTTTGCTGAGTAAACTTCAGCAAGCTATTCTACCTCTATTGGTAGGATTAATCTGCCCAGAAAGTTAGGTCTCTAAATCCAAATTTCACATGTGGACACAGAAATCTAGAGGGACATTCTTCTCATCCTAGAATAGGTAAGGGGCATTGCCCAGAGCAGGTCCTTCCCTGTCCCTGGATAGTGACGGCCTGCTGCCAGTGTCTCAGGCCTAGAAAACTCAAATTCACATCTTCAAGGCAGGCCAGAAGAATACACGTAATATTTCTAATTTCAGACAAACAAATGCTATCCGTTTGACAACTCATTTTTAATTCTGACACACATCAGGAAAGTGTAATAAGTTTAAAGTATTATTAAATGTTTTAAAAAAATAAAGAATACAGTCCCTAACATTTAAAATGCTTAACCATTCAAGATTGATTTAGACATTGGCAAATAAAATCCTTGTACTTTCTAATAGCACATCTGTACGGTGTCTGCTCTTGGAGAAAATAAAACATTAGTTAAGATCAATTCATAGTTTGATACAGATTGGGAAAGCCTATGTTTAAGTTGACCATGCATCTTTAGGATCAGCTTGCTTCTTAAATATAGTCAGAAAATGAAGTTAACCATATATGAATCTGAGCTAGATAACTCAATACCATGTGCATCATCACTACACAGGAATTAGATTCATTTATATTTAAGGACAATGTAGCTGCCCTGAAGATATGTACACATGCATATATACATGTATGCATATAACAGATCCCAAATATTCAAATGAAAATCTAAACTAAAGCTTAACGAGATTAACAAAGGATTTCTTCCTTTGCTCTTGCATCCTAATTAACTATCTCTGTCTCAATGGTTACACGGATATTTTGCTATTTGATGCATTTTTCCTTTCTGTTGTCCTTGCCAGGACCTTGTTCCCTGCCGCTGCCCCATTCTCATTTCTTATCCAAATGTTTGTTTGTCTATTTTTTTAATTTTCTTTTTTAAACCAAAGCCTCATTAGGGCACAAAAAGCCAGACAATGTTCCACTAACAGCTGGATCTTTGACCTAAGCAAAATACATTGTGGTGATTAAGGTGAATTCTACATGGAGGAGAAAGTAGTAAGATCTGGATCCGAAGTCTACTGCCAAAGCTGCTAGCCAGATATTAGCAGGGATATTCCCAGGTTCAGCTGAAAAAACAGCTTAAACGGCAAAAGGTGAGTAGGCAGCTTTCAAAATGCCTGAAAGCATATTTTTTGCATTACACAGATTGGAAAGCCTATCCAAGTTCAATCTATATTTTATATTCCCCCTTTGGGGATGGGGAGTGAGCAAGTTTCCACTGTGCTCCTCAAAAAGAAATACTGGCAAACATTTAAATTTAAAAATTAGAATTGTCTCTCTCTTCAATTTGTTCACTGTATATCACAGCTCTTTGGAAGCAGACCATTTCACTTTTCCATAGAGTGTGAGCACATTTTTCCAGGCTCTAAAAGAGAAGAAGGGAGCAGAAACAGATAAGTGGATACTACAGGAGAGAAAAGATAACAGGTAGGCTCAAGCATGTCAATGGACTACCCAAAAGACAAAGAATCAAATTCAGTTTATTCATTTTTAAAAAAACATAGCATATCCTACTTAGCATATTCTAATTGGAAAGTTGTCTGAAACACAGAGATAAAGATTTGTTTGACAGAAACCCCGTGACTTGATAATGTTCTTTCTTTCATGTCCTACTAAGTAGTTCTAGTGGGATAAACTCTTCTATAGCATTCTAGTAACCTCAGTGTATTCATTCCTTAGTTTAAAATTATTGATCACATATTTCAATGAAAATATTTGTAAGACTTGCTGGATATGTATTGCATACTTAATATGCCTTGGAATGAAAGGCACCATGATAAGCTTTGTCAGTTGACATAAAAGAAAGAAAATCATCAAATAGGCAAAGCTGAAAATAAGGCTTTCTGAAATGTAAGTGGCCTAGCTTCTGAATGAGCCAAGTGCCCCAGAAGACAAATAAAAAAGAGAAACTACAAATGCACAGCCCTGACAGATAGGGTGGAGGAAGATGTTAGGGGAAGAACACACTACTTTTATGCAAGTGAAAGTGTCAAACCCCAGTTTCAGGCACCACAAAAGGCGTGTTTTAATTAAAAAGTTTATCTGGAGATGTCTGCATGTGTAAAGAGTCATTTCGTTTGCTACTTGAATGCAGTCACCTCAGAGTAGGAGGGTATTCAAGGAGACTGGTTCTGTGAAGTGTTAAACATTTGTAGTTTCTGTATACTTCAAGCAACAAAGTGCATAACAGTAGAGCAAAATGAGATTTAAGAAGTCTGACAAACGCTCTCAAGCATTATTAAAAGGAAGATAAAGAAATATTCAGACAACTTTGCTATTTATCCCACAAGTAAAGACAGAAATCTTAAATAATCACAAACAAGATCTCAGTTTTTATAATTTACTCAACATTCATTCTAACATTTACTCTTTAGTTATTAGCTCAATTGACTTGAAGGAAAGACTGCCACCTACTGAAACAGCAACAGTTTACTAAGTTTCCAGGGACAGAAGATAAAATGGATAGTAGCATTCATCACTAGTAACAGTACACGGTTTCAGATTTCATATTCAAATCATAAAATTTACACTAGGAAAAAGGTAGAATAGTCGAGGTTTTGTACATCATAATTAAAAATAGAGAGAAGAACAGAAGCAGAAGTGCATAAAACTTTGAATCTAGGCAGACAGACTGTTTTTTTAAAGAAGAGAACTGACGTCATGGAAGCACTGTGATCAGAAAGCATGAAGCCATTCTCTTGTCTGACTGAGTAACTACTAATGCAGTATGCATTTCAAAGGACTGGAAAAGGCCATTTCATGACCTGTATACAAGACAACAGACTCCACCTTCCTAGGATCAGTCACATTTCCTAAAATGTAAACTCTGCCATACAAGTTCGCGTTTATAAACATCAGATATCACTCACTTTTACTATTTTTCCACATAAAGCCTAGAAGGTTCTTAAGACAGTTGTGTATAACTGTTTCCACACAGTTTTTGTAAAAAAAATACAAGTTACAAGTCTCAAATATGTACAAAATTATATAAGCAGAAGAAAAATTCGGAGTTAAAGGTTAATTGAATAGTCTGCAGTTCACACAACACCACAGTACTAACCAATAATCTGGTAAATGCTAAGGAAATAAAAGCAACATAGAAAACTACCAATTGCTATATGTATATATACACCAAAATATAAATGTTTTCATCTGCCACTTACCAAGTACAAGAAATATCCACCAAAGCCAGTACTGTCCATTGAAATATCCAGTAAAGTAATCTGAGAACTGAAATACATTCACAAGTCTTAACTTGAGTAAGATAGGTGATTAAGACATATTTAATGTCTATTTAAATACAGAAAGGATAGAGGAAAAAGCAATTTCGAACAAAAATAACATATTAGGGTAAAATACAAAACTGATATTTGCGCAGCAATAGCCTACACCTGACACCGGCAGCATTATTTGTCTTCTTCAGCAAAGTTATTTCAAATCCTCTAAAAAACACTTAGTTAGATACTTGCCAGAATCATCTGACATTTTCTATTACAAAGAATCACCGCTGTTGATTTTTTTGCCCAATGTCTGTCATCCCAAACACATTACAGCAGCCTGCTGCTTTAGATATTAACACCAGAAGCCACATTAGTTTAATCTTATCAGACAGGGATGTTCTGCTGACCTCTCAAAAGAGGAGCTTTTGACCTTCTGTATACCCCCTACTGTTAATCGCTGCCAAGAATACCAGCCCCATAAAGACCTCCAACTCATTAAAGTCTTTTCATTTTCAAACCAGTATTCAATTCCCAGCAGTGAGCTGAACGCAGCTAAATGAACCTTGAAGCAGCATTTCAGCTGTTCCTGTTAGTGACCATGGTAGACAGTTTTGTCCTCTCTGTGATGTGGGAGGCAGCTGGAGGGCAGGGTGTGATGGTATTGGAGACAGGTATCTTTGCCTTTACCAGACTCCAGACTGCATGCTCCACTGATAAAAAGGCTAATCAAATGTCTCCAAAGTTCACATTGGAAACAGGAATAGCGAGATGTGTGAAAAGTTGCCAGAAGGAATAAAATAACCCGTTTAGTAGCAGCTACACTTCCCATCCTGCTATCACATATAATGCATCCTGCCACAGTACTTGCCCATTTGTCATTTCTAGCACATTTCAGTAGTGTCAACCAGGAGAATGCCTGAATTACACAATGCTTCCTCTAAAAAGAGGATACTGGGCCACACCTTCAATTAGATAAACATCAGTGCCATTTAATGAATTTTAGATGACAACAGAGCATAATTCATTCTTTTTTTCCCCCTCAAGTAACTGACTGTGTATAGAGATCCACAGATATTTTCTCCATAATAAAGTCAGATCACGCGCATTCTTTAAAGGCCTAATTCTGTACTCACATTAATTTCTATGAGCAATTAAAGAAAAATAAAATTAAAAAAAGTCAAGCAACGGAATTGCTAAATTGAATTAAAATAACTAGTACTTATATTATTCCAACATAAATATTAATATTTCGATCATCCAGCAGAGAAAGGATTTTGTATTTTAATGGTTCATTAAAATAGCAGATGAATGCTTGATTCCCAAGAATTTCACAGCATTACTAAAATCCTATCTCACGTTATAGTTAATATTTTAAAATTCTCTAAACACATCTAACAATCCATTTTCTTTTAAATTCCTAATTCCATTTAATTGGGAAGAAGATTTATTAAAATCAGCAATCAAGCACTGGTCTATGTGTATACTCTCACACTTTCTTTAGGCAAAGGAAATCATTGTTGCAGAATTGCCAACAGTAAAATTACACTTTTATCAGTTTCTACCGGAGGGGAGGGGGAAGGGGGGCACCTAACAGAGAGAGATTATACATGAACTAGGATTGTTTAGACACTACTGCACTTCATACCATTGACCCTAAGTGAGAAAGGGTGACACAAGCCTTCTGAAGTGTGAAGCAAAGCGACAGAATAATTTAACGCACGTACACACACGCACAACACCAATTAGACAAAATTGTCAATATACACCCAATGAACTTTTTGGGTTATTTTCTCTTTGAACAGGGGGACAACACAGAGAAATGATAATCTTTGCTATGAAAAAAGTAGCCCTGAGGTCCTGAATTGGTCAGCTCTAGTATTTTAAATTTGCAAGAGATTATATATTAGAATTTAAATATCAGTTACAACACAGCAATTCTTCAAGAAAGCTTAGAATACACTAATTTGGAGGTTTGTTATAAGAAAAGAACACATTCCTGTCTGTTTGACAATTATAAAACTGTCGCAATGAGTAAGTTCTGTCCTCCGCTTAGTATGCCTCAAGGAAACTTGAAAATAACCCCAATGGATGCATAGTTGAAAAACTCACGTCATCTCCCCTATTAAGACAAATTCTAGTCCAATCCCTGAATTCCAGTCAAATACACCAGAATCACCTCTGGTTCAGGAGAATTCCTCTGCCCTCAGGAACCCAAACACCCACCCTCAGCTCTAACAAGGATGCAGGGCACGTCCAGGAAGGAACAATCTCTTCTCTACAATCTGTTTGATTTTGACATTATTTAGTATACACGTACCTTATAGGGAGAATGTATCAGATTTTCCAAGAGAGAATAATTTAGCAAAACACTTCTGAAATGTTCTTCTGCTAAGTAGAGCCATTTACAGTTGTTCACATATGACAGTATTTCTGAATAGTACCAAAACTATATTGGTACTTTCTCCATTTTTTTCTGTATGCTTTTAAATATTTGTTCTAAGAATGAGTAACTCCAAATTTATTTTAGTGAAAATAGGAATGTAAAATGATAAATCAGATAAAAATAATCTAAGCTTTATTAGTAAGTATATAGAAAGAAAATTCTCTAATGAAATGGAAAGTTAGAGCAAATTCTAGGCATTTTTAAGTTTTTTAGTATACTAGAATTTTTAAATATACTGTGCTTTTAAAAAATTCCATCATTACCTATTCTTAAATAGATTTCTATGCTTTCAGTTTACAGACAAAAAAAGCCCATACAGTGTAAAATCAAGAAACATACCCGCACAATGAGAATCCATTTGATCAGGGAGAGACCAAATCCACAGATTGCACCATACCTTCCAGCTATGGTATTTGTTATACAGAAGGATAAACAAAATCCAATCCAGTTGAAAATAAATGCCACTACAAAATAAAAGAAACAGTAGCTTCTGTTAATCTGCATAGCTAGATAAACAGACTTGGCATTAGTTTCACTTATAAACTAGTAAGTACATGCTTACACAGTCAGAAGTTCCCTTCTGATAATTCAAGTTTTCAGAAATTTAGTTTGAATACAGATATCCCCAACGGTGTATTCACTTAATAATAAAGCAAATGGTAATTAGGTGGAATCTACTGCTTTAAATAAGAACATTCCAAAAATAAAGTATTGCATTGCTACTGAAATGTGACTAGATGAAACTAGACAAGAAGGGTAATGCAAACAAAGGACTACAACACATAAGATTCGACTTAAAACAAAGAAAAAACCGTGCTACCCTTTTATAGCCAAGATTATAGTTATTATGCCTGCATACATCCATATATCAAGGCTGCATATTCAGTTTTACCTAGCTTGGATAGAACAGAATGAAAGTATGTGATCTTGTTCTGTAAACACATTATAGAAATGAAGATAAGTTGAGAAGCTGATGTTTAATTGATTACTGTCTTCTCTTTTACAAGATCTGTGTACAAACACCTGATATCAAAAATCTTAGAAGTTTTACGCAAAAGCGTAAGAAATCAAGCAATCAAAGGACATTGTGTATAACTACTTCTATAACTCATTAATGATCTTACACAACTCAGTTTTACAATTTAAATTTTCATATCTGCACATGTAGTTGGCAAACAACAATAATATCTGTATTGACTGCAGTTTGAGTAGACTAGAGCAAAGCGTGGGAATCCTGATTAGGTGATGTCCCAGTCACAGTTAAGTGAGGGCAACCTAAAACAAAAAAAATTGGTATATGCTAGGTGGTGGGGGGAGAGACAGCTATTCAATTAATAAGAATATTTTATTCTGTACATTCAGATATCTCTCCAAAATAGAAGAAAAGCATTTTACATTTGAGAAAGCTTGGATAAATTGTTCTGAAAGTAGGATCTCCCTTTTTAAAGTAAGCTCTTTAAACTCATCCTACTGTTAATTTTACAAACTTCAGTACTTAGCTCTATAATAAGTCTCTGCTCCTGTAACAGCATAGCAATTTACTGCACTCCCTTTCTCCATGCTACTCACACTACTTAGAGCGACTTTGATAATGGCTGCAATGATAGGTGCACTAAAAAAATGAGAAGACAGACATTTTTCTAACGGACTATGCATACCAGAGGAATCCCTAGGATATTTAAGATTTTTAAGGTTATATTAAAAAAAAAAAAAAAATTAAGGATTTGTATACCACCTGGACTCAGTTATGCATTACACAATTTATATTTCCCTCATATCATAAGATATAGGAGGGCCTGTCCAGGAACATTCTGTTAGTCATGCAAGTTCTCAGAGCTTCGTGGCCCACATTGCATCTGGTAAGAATAACCAAAAATAATTTGTGAACTTCCTGTCCGCCCTAAGCGTTGAGACATCATGGCAATAAAAGGTGTCCATAATTTTCATCCCTATATTGCTCTAGAGAAGGCATAGCACAAGTTTCTTCCCAAAGTTGAAGGAAAAAAGAGAATGGGAAGGGCAGGGGAGAGACTAGTAAAATGAAATATATATCTACTACACATAGACGACTTAGTCACTGTACGAGTTTCCTGCTGCTACTAACACAGCCCTTCACTTTTGGCCTGCATCCAGTCAAAATTTAAATGATGCTGTTCAGCTATTAAGGAAACTACCTAAAGTCTGATGAGTTGCTACTATCACATCTTGATTTTAATTTAAAACGCATTCCTTACTTCTATTTGCTCATCCTCTTTACACAATTAGCTCTTACATTCTTTTTTTAGACTTTTCCTGTAAGACTAAACATTTTGCAACAAGAACTGTTTTCTGTCCCAGAGATCACTACCCTTTACACTCATATTTGATGCACATCTTTCAACTATTGTCCTCTTCCCTTTAATAAATTCAAGACTTTTAGTTGAAACTCAGGCTGAGTGCAATGGAACAATGCTGTCACTATTTCTTTACTACTCTAACAATAGGCAGACAAGTGGGACTGATAAAAATAAGCCTTTTAGTCGTATACTTTCCTGCAGTGATGACAAGAGGAGGAAATGAAAGGGAAGGAACAGTTTACAATTTAGCCTAGAACTGTTCTCCTTAAAGTGTTAAATGTGGCCTTTTTTTTTTTTTCCCCCGGAAAAAAAAAAATAGAGAATACATATGTGTAAGTGCATGTTAATATAATTCACATAAAGAGAACACAGTCATTAGGGCAGCTCTTAAACACATCAGAATTCATAATGAACATGGAGGAAGAAGTTGCTTGATAGTGGTAGGGAACTGACTGATGGACTTTTTATTAAAAAACCCGCTTGATATCTAATGCAGTGGTCACAATAAGTATGGTGTACTTACATTTCACTTTACAGTTTGCAATAAAATAATACCAGTTGAAATACAAAAAACACAGGATATTCCAAACGTTGCAAGTCTAACATGTGTGTAATCTGTCCATGAAAACAAGGATACCCTCGAGTTATTTCCACACCCAAAACCTTCTTGAGGAACAGTGGTCAGCATAGGCTTTTTTTTAATACAAAAAAAAAATCAAAGTTTGAAATCAAAAATTTTTATCCATCTGCTACTCCAAAGAAGTTGGAGTAAAATAATTTAACCGGCAAACAAGCTTACATTTGTTACTGTTTTGCATTCTGCATTCTCTAACTACAGGGAAAGGCAAAGATTTCATATGAAGACGTACTTTGTCATAACTAGTTTATTAACACCTGTTAACACTGCCTCTTTCCAAAAAAGCATTCATAACACTTGACAGAGAACAAACCTGTGCTTACTTTTTTTTCAATGCTCATTAAATTGCAAATATTGATGCATCTTTTCACTCTATTCCCACAATTTACAGTAAACAAAGGAAAATCTAGTTTATCGCTACGTTAAACAGTGTTATATACATATAGGTTTTTTAATGCATTGCAATACATTGCAATATGCAACAATAATTACAGCTATATTAGAATTAATCTATTTTTTCCTCCATGATTATTTTGTTCCACTTGCTGATTTTTTTGACTTGGTTTTCTACAGCCACACATTAATTACTTGTCTTAAGTTTATATGCAGTACCATGAAAACCTACTAGTAAAACTGATCTGAAGACCTGTGCTGGTTTCAAATTTTAGCCATGGCTCAAGGCTGTGCAAACTAATGGCAGCTATATAAACAAAATCCAACCATGACCACTTACATCCTTTATTCTCTGACTTGTCTGTCCCATGACTTTCTTTTCCCAATTTTTTAATACCAAGGAAACACCAGAGAGCAAAAAGTTTCACAGCTGGCATAAGCATACTGCAATAAATAATATTTTTCAACTCTTCATGCCCTACCATAAATTATTCTTCCTAGTGCTATGTAGAATTTATTCCGTTCTTGGACTGGGACACATTTTTCCTCCCTTCTGAAGGCCCCACCTAAAGTCTAATAATGATCAATAGGATGCTATGAACTTCAACAGACAACTTTGGATCAGATTCTAAATAGATTTCTTATTCTAGCAGTAAAATTACTATAAAAATACCTTAAGATTTAAGAGCCTGGTATTTGGTTTCAAACTTCTGTAGTATATTGTGTTATCTTCTAAACGGAGTCTAAAATATGAACTAGCAGAAAGATTTAGAAAGAATCCCTTTAATATGAATGTTTGGAGTAGAAATTGCACCCATGAACCTGCATCCCCATATGTATGGGAGAAAGAGAAGATATAGACATCTCCGTAAAGGAGACAACTGCTTAACTGAACTTTTTCATCAGAAATACCCCCACCTTATGGATCTGACATTTTCACATGAAAAAAACAAATTTAAGTATTTTGAATGTCCAAAGAAACTCAAGCTATTTGCTTTTACTCACAGAAAACACAAATTATTTTTTCTGAAAGGAAGAGAATATCTCAGAAAACAGCGTGCTTCTTTCTAAAATCATATGTCATTAATAGTGTATTTAAAAGCTGGATATGAAACGCTGCAATTTCCTTCCATTTACCTACTGCGCGTCCATCAGCCTTAGAACAGTAACATTCTGCACGTCTCTGACTATTCCCAAATGGAATGAAAAACCTCAGTATCTAGGATTTTATTTTCTTAAAATACCTACAAGTAGTTTAATAAAAACCTCTCACTGTTTTTTAATAAGGCTACCGCGATATGGCAAAACCGAATTAAGCGGGGGGAGGTACATCTGAGTCAGAGAAAACAGGGCTGAAAGCGTTCCACAAGAAGTCATATGTTTCATTTCACTGTTTGAAAGCAGAATTAGCTATACCCACGCTATTCCTAAGAGCGTCTAATTTGTTTTTCTACTCCGCAATGAAAGCTCTATGCTTCCTTAAAGCCCAACTGGAAGCTTCCTTGTTCCAATTATTTTTTATTACATCCAATATGCACGGAGAAACTCAATTTCTCTCTACAAAGAGAAAGAACTTAGGTGACTGCATATGAAGGTCAGCCAGGCTCCCCTGATAATCAGAGGGAAACATACATTTCCAAAATGGTTCCTTTATCTCCTTCCAACAAAGGCAATTTCGGTCAGATGACTTCCCCTCAACCCCTCTTGCATGACTAAGGGAAACCTGTATAACGATCATACTGCAGACATCTAGAAGTCAGGTTTTGTAAATCCACAGGAAATTCAGAGCATGATCACATAGTATTTTTCAGGAAGCACGCAATAGGAGGCTTCCTGAAAGCCTCCAAGCTCACTCTGAGCTTGCACTACAACTCTGCCTCTCAACTTAAGTAGGTATCTTGATATATATTAAAATTCCAAGTAGATACCCTAGCTTGTACACACTTGGTTTACTTTTTGAAGCATCTACTAGCTTTGAAAACTGTGTGAACATTAGCTTGCAAATTTTACTATGGATATTATCTGTTCTAATACAGCATCTGGAGAGAACGTACATTAACTTTTCTCCACATTCTGAATTTTATTGGTGTGAATTGTACTCACAATGTTTCAAATTGATATCTTGGCAATTTAAAAGAACAAATTAGATCTCCAGATGAGAACTTAAACTTCAGCTGACTGATAAAAAAAGTTTTCTCCCTTCCTTCTTCCTCTGAAGTGATGATTAACCCTTCTGAGAAGTTCAAATTAATTTTTTTTTTTTTGGATATAAAGAGATAATCTTAGTTTTGGACAGCCCAAAACTGCGTGTAATTTCAAAAATCTAGAAGAGCTCTGCAATCCTTCTGGGGTCCACAGGTGAAAAGGCTGGTTTATATTCTAATGCACTAGTTTTATATAAGAGAAAACATTAGATGAACAAATAGCAATCAGATAGGGGTTGAAGATTTCTGTTATGGGCAGACTAAGCACAAGAAATAAATCTGTTTGGGCACAACAGTTACTTGCTGTATCACCATTAAAGCTGTATACAAAATGGAAAGAAAAAGCTCAAAATTTCCACTTTTTCTGTTTTCTGTTGTGTATATAAAAAGTCATTCCTTCTAAGAAAGTTTTCTACTAAGTGCTTCCTGTTGCATTATGAAAAGTTTACACTATGCTGTATATGGCATATCTGACTTTAAAGTACATAACAGATAAATTATATTAACCGGTCTGACAGAGCAATTTGCTGACTTTGGTCTAATATATTCATTTATTTAAAGGTAGAAGCTGACAAACACCAGATTTTCCCACACACCAACACAACCAAGGACTTGAAAAGCAAGATCAGTTTCTGAATGTATATGATTTCACTGCATATTATAGATAAAATTGATACTTCATTTATACTTAATTGGCTTCCAGATTTTTCCTCTGTTTCTGAATCAAATGCTAAAGCAAAAAACCCACAAAAACCATAGTCATTTTGCAAATGCAGTAAAGACATTAAAATATTTCTTCACATAAAGGGCTTTTATTATTTTCACTGTAGTGACTCATTCTACCCAGTTATGCTACTCACAATAGTACTTTAAAATCTATTTCATACCTAGATAGGAAATAAGTTTATAGATTGTACGCACCAAGCTCTTATCTGTAACTGCACCACTAGGGAGTGGTTTTTTTTTTCTTGAAAAGGAAAAACAAAGCACAACAAAAACACCATCACCACCACCACCACACAAACACATCTCCCAACAACCACCAAAAAACCCACAGACCTGGCCACTAGATGGCCTGTAAGATAACAATTTTATGCAATTTAGGCAGCTACCACTAGATGGTAGCTACATATCATTAGCTGATTGCAATGAACAGAACAGAACAATAAAAAGTTGTTTATATTTCAGTTGAATTAACATAAAAAAAGTTAATTGCACTGTTTTATGTTTAAAATTAAGGCAAAAAGAGCCCCTCGAAGGTCCCTCCCTTGTTCATTAGCTTTATAGTCTTTCTACAAATGCTACACATAATAGTCACAGGAGGAGGTGGGAGAGTGAATTTAGAACAGCTCCTTCTTTTCATTACCCTCTCACTGAAACACAGCTTCTGCCACTGTTTTCTTCCATTTTAACTACATGAAGGAATTTACTGTAGGTTCTCAGTGATCATCCACCTCTGCTTACAGCTTTTAAAAGTACCCTCCATCAAAAGACATCCATTTTTTAATTTCATTTTATTTCTTACTCCCTTAAATAGAATCGGGATTACATACACACACACCCATTTAAGACTGGTCCTTGTTAAACTCATTTTTCATTTAGTTTTCCCATTTCCTAAGAAAAAAATCTCAGAATATTTTAGGTCTGTAATTCCCACAGGGTTTTTATACTAGTTATAAAATGAACACAAATGACCAATAAATTATTTAAATTTCCATGTATAACTGGTATCCATAACAGTCAACATAGACACTAATTAAGCACATGCTTGCCTTAATATCTTGGAATATGTTTAACTTTGAAAGATCCTCATTTTATGTATTTCACTCAAAGGAGAGCAGAGTTAAACAGCCATATAGTCTCAGAATAACAAAGAAAAATTTTGATCTACAGAGAGTTTTTGACAAATATATAAAAAGTGCTTTGGGCAATCAGCCTCAGCTAACAGGCTAAATTAAAAAGAAAATTGCCAGTTTACCCAAGCAAACCTCTCCACTCTTGAAGGTGTGCACAAAGGCTCCGGGCATGCAGTTTTGGCCAACCGTATTTAATTTAGCTTTTGCATAGAATGATTTTCATTACTTGTCTGCTCCTAGACGCAAGCTAATAAGACTTTTTTTCAGCTGATATTTTAGGAATTTAAATATAGTAGAAGCAAAGATCTTTGTCTGAATTTTCACTGCTGACAAGCTATCTGCTTGTCCTCCAAGTGCAGCACCAACGAAGGCCTGAAGCAGGCTCTAGAAGCATGAACAAATTCACAAAATACAGAACCCATATTGATTGAACACAAAAGGTTGTAGCAAATAAGTCGGGGAAGAAAAGGAAAGAGACCAGTTAAGCCAAACTCTCCCCTTCCTCCCCACAAGAACATACCCTTGTCATGGTCCAACTACAGAGAGGTCAGACTACAAACTCACTTTGTCTCTCTGTATATGCATTTGCTGTAAGAGGTACCTGCATACTTTTGTATGCTAAGATGCAAAGCTCAAATTTTCCAAGTATGTTGTACCAAGAAAAAGAACTTTTATGAAAGTTCTATATTCTGCATCTGCAGCAATTAAACAAAGATTGTAAAAGACAAGAAGAACTTGAATAAAGACGAAATCTAAGCTGAAAGGCATAAAGGGGACTTTGGTGGATATCAATCACCTTTCATCCTGATGAACGCTAAAAGAACAGTTGTATTTCCAACAAAAAATTTTCATAAAGGCTGCAAAATGCAGTTTTATTTGGGAAAGGGGAAAATTCCTCAGAAATTAAAGATATACAACGGGGAAAACAGAGGCAGCTTCTTTCTAGAAGTAACTCACAGTGGATAGATCCAACTTTGGTTAATGCAGTACTTAGAAGACGTGTACAGCACACATATAGTGACTTCAGTAAGTGCTAAAGTAGTGCTGGCGATAATCAGAAATCATCTGAAGACTATATATCTTTTAATATGCTAGTGATGAGTTCAACCTGAAAATAAGTAAGTAGTGGCTGGATTTGTTCCACAAATCCACCTACAGCTTTTTAATTCAGTTCAGTAACAAAAGCAACTTTTGTACGGCACATCGTAACTCTCAAATTCTTTCTGTCCAAAAACTGATTGCCAGTTTCTAATCCAGCCTTTAATTAAAGTTGGTAGTCCTTTGGAAAACAGAATTTCCCAATTCACAGTTCACAGTGTTGCTATGCTTCAGAATACTTACTGTGATTTTGTTTTGTTCCCTTATCTGTGATAGGTGTCTGACAACTGGAAAAAAAAGGGCAACATACTTTCTACTTCTGGAACAGGAAGTGTTTATATCTGTGTACAGGTAAAAAAAATCCATCTGTTACAGTAAATTACTGCAGTTTATCACAGCTGTCTTACAGTCCATAGAAACAAGGTACAATTAAGATATACCTCAATAGGTCTGGGATATAAGATCACTTACTGAAAAATGCCAACATGAAGATGCCATCATTGCCCACTCTAAGCTGATCTGCATCACTGAAATCATCCCGTGGTGGATACTCTTCTTCCTGGATTTACAGGTTAGTGATAATTTAGTGAAAAGTTTATTTTAGAGTAACTATCTGTAGGTTTAAAGTATTAATTATGTTTCTAACGCTAGGAGAGAATTGACATTTCTGTAACAGGTCCACATAAGGGACTTTTAAAAGAAACATAATTCACATCCTCTAAATCAAGTCTTGCTTACACTGAAGATATGTACATATTGTACATTCATCTTAAATGAAACTAGAAATTATTTCAGACATTCTTTACAATCAAAACAAATCTCTTTCATTGCTATACTGCTCATATCTTAATATGCAGCCAAGTAATTAAATACTTTTTAGAAAGAATGATCTCACTTTTTTTTTCCTCTGAAAGGCAAGCCTTTTTATTGTTTCACAAACTACAGGATAAAATTTTAGAATAAGGTTAGTATCTTAAAACAAGTTGCTGATGCAACAACACAGCACTAACCAGTTCTGCTATCCTTTAATTCACGGTAGGACACATACAAAGAAAAGAAAGCGTCTACTGACACTAGAGGGCGCAAGCACATCAAAAGTGTTCACAAGTCTTCCCAACTCAAAAATCATAATACTTCAAGTCAAACAAAATTAGACAGATGTCAGTCAAAATAATCTAAAGGTTTCTCCTGTCATGTTAAAATATTAGATTTTAAAATACTGAAAGTATGGGTTTATTTTGTTTCTCAATACTTTATTTTCAACAGGACTTGGTATATCTTACAAATAAAGTTCTATGCAGAACTAAGACATCACAATAACCGTAGCCTTGGAAAAAAACAAATTTTCATGAGAGCATTTACTAAAGACAGCCTGAAAGAAACTGTAAAATCAATTAGAAACATCAAATTTTACAGTGCAGTGAAAAACAGTAAAGTGAACAACAGCAGAACAACATAGGATGATTCAAGTAAAGTAGTGCAGTCAGTAACAGTAATAATATGATATAGATAAAAGCATGAGTAACATTCTTTCACTTTTCCTATAATTTTTTCTCCATTTAATCATAATGGATTAGAATTGTGATAAGTGCTCTATAAAAAACCTAATTCAAGGCAGATTCATCAAAATGAGATTTATTTAGCTTTTTTTCCCCACAGCAAATAATTACTACTGAAGCAGCATAGTTCTGATTTTAACACCTTATTCAGTTGATGTATATCATACGTTATTTTGTGTATTGAGTTCATAACTGAAAGGACATTAAAACAATCACAATCATCTGTCATGTGAATGACATGTTTGCTCATCTTTGTAAGCATAATAGAATAATTTACCAGGGGACAATGATTATAACTAACTATGTGCTAGAACAAACTGTGCCCAAGTGAAGGTGGCTAGCGCTGCCCTTCATACCATGTGCATGAAATTCCAGCTGCTCTTTCATTTCAGATTAATAAACCAGGACTCTATATCAGATAAATTACTTCAAAAACATTGCCATTCACGCAGATAATTCAAATGAAAATACAAAAAAAAAAGGGCTGCAGCAATCTCAAGAGGCTGTAATTCAACTCTACATAACTTCAGATATCCCTAAATGGTGATCTTAGGTGAATACGAAAGCATTAGTTTATTTAGTATAACTTTGCTGCAGCTTCAATATTGATGGGGGAGGGAGGCTGAAAATGCGTTAAACAAAAGGCTACATTTGAATGTGCTCATCTCCAAAATGCATGCCTCAAGTTCCTTTTTTCGAGTTAGGACAACAAAAAAATATTTTCAATTGAAATTTCAGAAGGACTATAAAATCTCTTAAACAGAACAAGTTTTTCCACTCTTTTGAACTGACTGGTAACTACTCCACTTCCTACTGGCATGTCTGTATCAGTTAGGGAGCTACTCTTTATACAAAATATTTCTTCAGAAAAATAAAATTTTGCTCAATTACAGCAACAAGTTTAACAGGTTTCTCTATGTGCACATTCCTAAGGCTTACATGTGTAAGAAACACAAATCAATATATAACCCTGGAACATGTGAGCAAAGATTTGCAAGTAGGCACTTTTGTAGTAAGTGTAAACAAATTGTAATTTATCATATTCTATATCAAAGGGGAGTTATATTAAACTAAGTCTTACTGTCTTCAAACACTGGCATACTGAAGTTATCAGAATCTTTAAGAATGATGAAATAGGGTTTTCTACCTTCAAATCATATTCAAATTAAATTTCTAGGTACATCCACCATTTAGTACGATATGGTTTTATGCTCACAGTCCTGCAGATGGGAGATACCAATGGACCACTGGTCATGCCCCACAAGTGTAGGCTATGCTTCACAAGACAGTGTTCTTGTTTGAGCTAATTAGTATCAACTGGAACAATTTTTCTTCCCATACAGTTCTTTGCCACCTTTTTGGTCACTTTTTATGAGGTTATACAGAATGACTGCCCTCTCAGCTGCTGCTCAGAACTAAACATAACTTCATAGTAATTGTTCTGTTAGATATTAATGACATTGTTCTCAATTAGAATAATTATTTGAATATATATACACATATACATACAACACATGTAAATTACTAAAACATGTGATAATGTTTCAAGATTATATTGATTCTTATATATATTGAATCTTATATTGATTTTTGATAGTTAGCCATGTTAACAATTGTGGACGATTCTTCTAACCGCTAAATGCGTGACGAAATCTGTGTACTTTTCTGATGACCAGAGCAACAGCTACACAGCAAAATACATTATCAGCATAAATGCATGTCGCACATTAACTTCTCTGAGCAAAATAGCATCAAGTTGCAAACAGCATGTATTGAAGTTGAACCTATTAACTTCTCTGAACTACAGTAGCTATTCTATGAAAACAGGGTTGTTTTCTTCCCCAAGACTTTTAAAGTTCTTTCAAACTGAAACCTAGCATGGCATATAGTGAGATGACCACCTTTAATCGAAGAAAGGATCAGAGTTTTCAGAAATCCCTTGAATAACTAAACTGGTCTAACTCTGTGCAATAGAGATGATTTACAGAGAAACACTTCCCTAAGAAAAGGGTCAAATTAGTTAATAAAACTCATTAATGATACTTACAGCATATAAAACAATACTGAGAAGTCAATGGTTGGAAGGCGGGGTTGGGGCAGGGGGAAGACATGAAGAACCCCAGCAGCATTTGCTTGCCAGCAGGAAAATTCATAAAGTCTAAACTAGAGAGAACTATACCATACCTCTGGAGGACTGAGGAATATTTCATCAAACAGACTCCTAGACTCCCTAAACTGGGCGTGCTAAGCATGTAAAACAGAAAAACATAAGACAAATGCATCTAAAGAAGAGCATTAAGTAAAAGCCATTTATTACAACATACAAACAAATCATTTAACCGTTAAAAATGTTTTTGACCATTTAAATAACCTTTCAAAACTGACCTTGAGAATTTGAAGACATCAAAAGTCAGGTAAATAATGCTACCAGTACTGATGACAAAGGTTTGTTACAGTTTCTTTGATATGTTGAGCTTACTGGGAGCCTTTGAGAGAAATGCATGTTTACACTCCATTGTTTTAAGACAAACTTAGCAAAGGACTACAGTTGAGTACTGAAAGTGTCAGTAAACGCTAAGTTTAGATTGTTCTCAAAATCTATGGAGGCAGAGACTATGACAGAGTAATAAGATGGCGTTAATTTTTTTCTTAAGATTCCTACCTCATGAAGAAAAAGAAAAGGATGGAAGTGGTTCATTAAATGTGTTGTCATTTTATACGTTTTTCCTCTTTTGCTCAATGAATAGCTTTTTGGTCTGCTTTACTGCACACTTTAGAATATACCATGAAATAATTTTCAGCTTCTTCATAGGTCACTCAATGCATCCTCAGGGCATTCAATTTTTTGCAACTGTTAACACTACTGCAGTGAAGGGGAAATACTCCCCATAGTTTACATGTAAGTTAAAGGCATATGTCATAGCAGAGTTCACATATATATCTTCAAAGCACTAATTTTGTAAGGCTGAAAACTCAAAACCTACTTGCCACATACAGTATGTATATGCTTTGAAAACCGTAAAACACTTCTGACTGTTTGCAGCTGTCACTTTTTGTGATCTCAAACATAATGAAAGTGAGAAAAAAATTAGATATTAGTAATGCAAAGTTTAAGTGATTTATCTGTTCTCCCATGCATATTTAGAGCTAAGAATCGCAATTATTCCTCTCAGGATGGCAAACCACCACTTTAACCATAAAATGACTTTTTTCTTTTTCCAGGTATCTCCTACATTGAGATAGTCTTACTACATAGCCTTAGCTGACCCCAGTGTATGTCTATCATAGGTACTACATAAGTAGGGGTTCTGCGGAAATACCATTTGCTCAGGTAATTAAAATAGCATCAAATAAAACTGCACTGGCACATAAAACTAATATCATCTACAAAACAAAAACTCTGCACTGGCTTATCCTACTTTTTTCCAAAGCTTAACTTTGCAACCTTAATATAGTTTCTTTAATATAGCTTGGAGGGCTGGTCTTCTTTCATTTTCTCTTTTTTAAACAAAAGCAAGGTGAGCAAAAATCTTATCAAACTTGAGACACCTAGCAGCCAGTAGGACTGTGACTTTTAGATACATTGAGTAGACTTCTGCCACTAACTTCATACTACCTTACGTCTACAGCCTTAGGGAACAGCTGCACTTTTCGGGAATGATGTTTGTCCCCACTGATTTTTCAGAAGTAGGTTGTTTTTGTGCTGTCAACACCTAGTTCCTGAATTTTGAGTTCTACTGTATGTTTTGGAAAAGCACGTATACGGACAGACTTTATGTAAAAGGTGGTTTAACATTTTGCCATCATATCCTACTCTCCTGCCTCCTCGTTCCAGATTCCTTTTCCTTGTCTCCATTTTACTCCTCGTTTTCCTATCTGCTGTTCTTCCTTGACCAACTGACTATCAAGTTTTACTCAGTCATTTGGCTTTTGACTCTTCTCATGTTGCACAGTTTCCAACTAGCAGTTATTTTCCTTCTTCAGCTCCACAAGTGCCTCCTCTCATACCTTGACCCAGTCCTACCACTGTTCTTCCTCCCTCCCTACGCTCATATTTTCTTACACACCCACTTCAACTCCTTTTCCAATACCACATTTTGTCCTTACTTGGGTTCCTTTTTCAGTCAATCACAGCTTATCCTTCTCTCTCTTGCTCCTAATTAAAATAGCTCAATATGTTACTCCCTCCAAAACAATGCTTAGCATACACCCTTGCCATTGCGGCAGTTACTTCTTTACCCAAACAAAAACAGACTTCTCTTCCCACAACGCTTAAGCTTTAGTCACAGACTCAAATTCCTCATCCCTTGTCCTTTTCCCCTCCACCTACACTGATGCCCTAACATTTCAATCAAGTGGCTTTCCTTTTCCTTACGGACAGAAGGCCCAGAATAGTACTTTAGGGCACAGGACAAATTCCCATTTCTCAGTTCCAGTGCTTTCACTAAAAGTAGCCAAGAGCAGCCATAAAGTATATCTACTTTTAGCCTTATAGTCCCTTTCTGATGCAGAATATCTGAAAACGTTCTCTATGGACAACACATCTGCAGTCCTGTCCTCTTCACAGCTGTGAGCAGGCTAAACTTGTTCAAGGAAGACAAATTGCACAGATTTACCACATTTAAAGCTGTACGTACAAACTGTGGAAACTCAGTTTTCAACAGCTTATAATTTGGCCAAAATTAGGCAGATTTTCTGAGGAAGGCAAAAGACCTTTCTGACACAGTGACCAGAGCATGTGAGCATTAAAGTTCTCCAAAAGAAAAGCCTTAAGAACACGGGCAAAACTAGTGGGTTTTGGTTAGTTTTTCTCTTGGAATTAGCTGAAACATAACCTAAGATTTTCCTAGAGAAATTCAGCTCAAAGACTACTGCCTGTATGTCTAAAACTTTCACCCTACAATGGTCAAGATTTGCAAAATTAAAAGTAACAAGAGTGTTGCAAGAATTGCATATGCCCTGTCTGAAATGCCACAGGACTGGTAACACTAAAAGTTAAGCTTCAGGGTGCTGAAGTTTCAGATAAGTTTAAAGGCTCTTAATCTCAAATTGGGAATTCAGACCAACACTTTAGCAAAAGTTTTCCATGTATGAAAAGCAGTATTAACAGAGTGCAATCTGTGCTCCTGTTAAAGCAGTTTAAAAAGTTACAGTCCTTCAACTGGAGATCAACCCTTCATAGCAGAAACTTGGCAACTGACTATGCAAATGTTCCTGATGCACTGCTACATTTAATAAAACAGGTTTGTGTAACATGTTCACTGGTAATCATTATCTTAAAGAAACTGTTCTGCACGTGATTGTTGCATGGCAGTCAAGGAAGTAACAACCTCCAGCTGGGAGGTTGCATCTCAACTGCAATCACATACGATTTCAACATGGGGATTTTTAGTGAAAGCAGTGGAAACCTAACTTGAAAATAGTCTGTTATGTCTAATCACATGAAGTACTATAAGTTCCACCTTCCAGAATTGGGTGAGAAAGAATAAAATCATCAACTGTTTACAAGACAAAACTAACATTTAATACTACCTGTAGATACTAATTTCCTACTTTGAAGACTGTATTCTTTAGAATATTAATTCTTACAAAACTATAAACACTATATACATACACCTATTAGTTTACTTACTATTTACCATGACTTTTTTTTTTTTTTTAAGTATTTGGAATATTATTTCTTTGAAATTCAGTAATAAGTTTTCATGAAACAAAAAAATGAGCCTTTTCTTCTAAAACATCTATAGTATTTTGGATTTTTCCCCTTCTAGGTTGTTGGAATTTTCTTCTTTGGTTATCAGTTTATTACCATCTGAAACACTCAAAAGGAGCACTAACTCTAAAAAGTAAAATTAGCAGGGGTTCTCAATTAAAAGATGACACTATACGGTATGGGCTATCAAAACTAGGAACAATTTGGCTTTTAAAGTTGTTTAGCAAGCAGTTGTGCCTCAGAAGGAAGTGAAAACTCTACACTTTTTACAGTACTTTACAAGTAATTTCCACAATCTATGAAGGATTAAACATCTAAAATATATAAAATCATTAGCACACCATTATTTTAATAAATAGGTCACCATATGGTTCAAGTTATTATAAATAATTAAAATTAGCCTTATAGATGTCACAAAGTTGAAATAAAGGAGAACTGTGTCACTTACTCGTTGGGCAACTTCTGCTGCAGCAGCCGCCATTGCTGCAGCTTTGGCCTTCTCTGCTTCATCATAAGTAGGAAGAGAGGTAGCTACGCTGTATGGAGGTGGTACAGGATAAAATTCATTGTGTGTTTCTGTTCAAAATAAAGAGGTTTATGCATTTTTAAACAAGAAAGATGTTAAGAACAGTAAATATTAAGTACACAGAACTATTGAGCTTTAAAGTACCTATAACAAGTTCAGCCTCTGTTAAAAATATTTGAACTACAAATTCTTATAAGCTATAAAAATACTTTTTTTTTTTTAATAAAATAGCAAACAATTTAAGGGTGTTTATAGTTGCTGCTCAAGGCAGAAACCTCAATCTAGATGTTGCAAGAAGCTAGTATGTTTAGGAACAAAGATTGCACTTGCTGAGTTACATATCTAGATATTCTAATCAAAAAGTTGTTTTATCAAATCATACAGAAGACATGCAAAGAGAAACTCTAAAAAGAGCTGTTTAATAATTAACATTAAGTCCTGTCATAATCATGCTATATTTTTATTAGCAGGGCCTTGTTACTAATTCCAGTTGGTCCATGAAAATCAACTGTTCCAAGATTTCAATTTTACTACATTCTTTGAAAAAAAAGTTCCTTATATTAAAATAGTCAGAATGCATTTTTATATATTGAAATAGTAAAGAGTCATCATAAAATCCTTAAAAATCATAAAACAGTAAAAGTTATTTAAAATACATTTTGAGTTTCCTCCCACAGCCAGCAGTAGTTCAACAAGACTCCTTCCATGGTAAAGATTTGTCAGTGCAGGTGCCAATACCACAAAGATATAATACACAGGATAATTCTACACATCTATTTGTACTCTCAATCACATCTTTCTGAAAGAACAGAGGTAAGAAATTGCTTCCTTAATCAATCAAAAAACTAGGCCACAGATTAGTTCTGGAACGCTTACTTTGTGCATGGGAGATGCTAATGCAAGCACCTCTGATTACAGCAGGCAACATCCAAGTCCCTGGTTAAGTCTCCCATATCCCAAAGAAAAGTAACAATTTCATAAAAAAGGGAGGAGTGAATAAAGGCAGAAAAAAACCTTCTAATTTTCCACAAGAAATTTTATCAAGAGCTTTTAAAACAAATTGCATCTTTTTATGGCAGTATTCTCACCTAATATGACATGTTTCTTTAAGAGGCTTTAGTTTTGAAAATTTGGCTTTTTCTTATAAAAAGACATCAAAATTGCTAATGAGGTCTATTATAGAGCACTACTTCAAGATGCAAAGATTAAACGTGGAACTGAACTAACATGCAGACTTAAATAAAATTTAAGTGTCATACTAATTAATGAATATTCATTTGGTCTAGTAATTTGGAACAGTGTGATTTAAAAGTGTGCAGCTTCTGAACATACCGGACAAAGACCTGTGCGTGAAAGCACACCTTTTTACGCTAAGTGTCTGCATAGGAAAAAGAAAAAAAAAAAAAAAAAAAAGGACCCACAGCATTATTCTACTTTTCTACTTTGTGGAAGTGCTGATTCATACACACCTTTCTTTAACAAATTGTTATGTAAGAAGAAAAATACCTGAGGTTGCAGCTGCTTCTACAGCTATGCTACAGTAAGGTGGAGGAGAAGTATCTGCTTCAGATAAAGCTGCTGTCTGAGAAGTCTGTGTAGGCTCTGTAGAAGTAGAAGGTTGCTCAGCTGCTGAAGACTCTGGAGGGTCATCTTCATTGTGAAGCTTGAGGGGAGAGAGGGGAAAAAAAAGAAAAATCAGATGCATTCAAGGAATTTTTTTTTACATGGCAATCCAATAATTGAGGAATCCTCTTCAAATTTAGAGCAAAAATTCCTCTAAATTCCTCTTCAACAAAACATATTTATAAACTAGCGCTTGACTACTGCAGATAATCCAACTAAATCAGATAAGCTTAAACTCAAATTTTTTCAGAAATGGATTACTTCCGATCAATTATCTTAATAGAAGTGTAAAATTCTGCCTTTCAATGTTCTCTATACGAGAAAATATTAAGTTTAAAATACTTTCTATTACATGAATATTTAAAAAATATTGCAAAGCTTTTTTCCTAAATACATTCATAAAATATTAACCCACTTCAAAATACAACAAGTGAATAACAATATCTTTGATTGTATTAATCTAGAGGAAATTCAAAAATAAGATTCCTATTTCCATTTGTATAACTGGGATTTTTATATTCACATGTCTTGTCAGACAGCTTTTCCACTCAAATTCTGTGACTTTCAAAGCATTCTGCTTTTCCTTACATTGTGGAAGGAATCTTTTCCTTATATAACTTCAAGTTCTTGTGTTTTCTTCTTGTAAATGCAGTTTTAAGACCACACTTACAGTTAAGCATATATAAAAATAAGAATTAGAATAAGCAAACATGTTGATTAAAATCCCTAGAACTCAAATTTGGCAACTAGCTAGTCTACTAGAAGACAGAAATCAAACTTTATTAAAAAGAAAGAGCGTTAGTTTCAGACAAAATGTGAATTACAAGATAAGACGCCTAGAGGGAGGCTACTGAAGCACCCACAGCTAAAACCCACAGATTCAGATGAATAAATTGAACATACCTGAAACAAGAATTCTACAGCTTTAATTCACAAGCTTTCAAAAAACACCCTACGCAATGACATTGTTTTTCTATCTGCACCAAGAATATTAAGGACACATCTACATTAATTTAGTATCAAGCAAAGTATAACCTGACTATAAGAAAAGAATACTTTCGGAAGAGAGGGTGCTAAATAAGTTTTAAGTCATTTTATGTTCCAACAAAAATTAATTTTCATCCAGAGCATATAAAAGTTCCACAGGTTACAAGTTCTGTGCTTATCTTTCTAACAATAAACTAAGGATAACAGCAGG